CTAATGTCGAGAGGGTGGAATACATCGCGAGTCAGAAATGCGGTTTCGCGACTTCAAAGAGATTTTCAACGCTTGTGATTTATTGTTCTAGGTGTAATAAATTTTTTTTCTGCATCTTAACGAATAAATGCTGTGAAAACTATTGTCACTGAAGGATTTTATTTTCTATTATAGGTGCTATTTTTGCTTTTTGAATTTTATCCCGTGTGGGAATTTACGAGGGTCTTAGTTTCCTGAATAATATTTACTGTGAAAAATAATTCTTATATTTTCAGCCCGCTTTTGACTGAATTTTAGATTTTAAAGTATGACTTTAAGTCTTAAAATTAACTTAATTTAGTTTTAAGCTTAAAAATAGACTACTTTTCAATCATTTTAATTTTTTAAAATAATGTAAACGGTTTTCAGACTTTGTTTTTTCTGTGATGGAAATATATTGTTAAAGGATCTTAAAATTAGATAGAAATGATCATCTTACTGAAAGTACATAGGATATTTTGTTTTATTCATACCAACCTAAGTGCGAAATGCCAAGACTGCAAAAACGGCCCATCATTGGCCCAGTAATGTCTGCTGAGAATTGGCAATAGCTACTGGGCCATTTCTGGTGTTCAAAACGTCCCATTGCTGGGCCAATGATGGCGCCGATTGTCAGATATTCTAATTTCCCAAGACTGGGCCGACTCTCGGCCTAATAATGGCACGTTAACGGCAAAGATGATCAATCTTTAATGGAAAAATATAATTGCCAGTGATGTGACGAACATCGGCCCAGTAATGACTCATTATTGTCACTTTAGTGGCAAAAATTTTGTATCTTTGTTGGCAAATTATAATTGCCAATATTTGGACGTAGTCGGTCCAGTACTGTCTACCAAGATTCGATACCAAATTTGCCATTATTGGCCCGTTTTTAATTTCGCACTTAGGAAACTATTTTCTCATACTCTTGTCGATAAAGTTCCGAAAATTGAAATTCAAGACATTGTCCTCAAGATGGAAAAATAATGCAATCGCAAAGAATCAAAGCCCGACTCTTGCTGATTTCGCGAGTCCAGTAATGAAGCCACTGAGCCACATTGCACTTAGCAATTACTCCAAGCTGGAAAGAGAGTTTCCATTTTGAAAGTTTATTAGGTTTTAAAGAATTTTAAAAATCGATATTTTATTTTAAGGGGACTTTCTGGTTTAGAATTTCAAAAAAAACGATTTTTTTTTTGCTTAAAAATGTTCCTTAGTATCATAGAATTACTGTCCCAAAACGATTTTTAAAAAATATGTACAAAAACAAAAGTTATAACAATATTTATGACGGTATGTATTTCAACAACAATCTACAGTTATCTTATTTACATATTTGGTGTTCCTCTTTTATTGATATTAGCTTGAAACATGTTACTCGAGGGTTTTTGGGGTCGCTGATTACAAATTTGATGTCAGTTTTTGAAAATACAAAATGGCGGATCCAATATGGCGGACGAAAAAATAAAAATTCAACCGGATTTGCTTAAAACTTGTTACTCGGGGGTTTTTGGGGTCGCTGATTACGAATTTGATGTCAGTTTTTGGAAATACAAAATGGCGGATCTAATATGGCGGACAAAGATTAAGAAATTAATTAAATTTAGTTGAAAATGGTTACTTGTGGCCTTTTGAAATTGCTAGTTATGAATATAGGCACAAAACATTAACGTTCTAGTTTTAAGCAAATCCGGTTGAATTTTTATTTTTTCGTCCGCCATATTAGATCCGCCATTTTGTATTTTCAAAAACTGACATCAAATTCGTAATCAGCGACCCCAAAAACCCCCGAGTAACAAGTTTTAAGCAAATCCGGTTGAATTTTTATTTTTTCGTCCGCCATATTGGATCCGCCATTTTGTATTTTCAAAAACTAACATCAAATTCGTAATCAGCGACCCCCAAAACCCCCGAGTAGCAAGTTTTAAGCAAATCCGGTTGAATTTTTATTATTTCGTCCGCCATATTGGATCCGCCATTTTGGATTTTCCAAAACGGACATCAAATTCGTAATCAGCGACCCCAAAAACAGCGGGATACGAAGTTCTGTTGTAATAAAAAGTTGTTTGATATTCATGACTCAATGAATTATGTTATGAAAACTTTAAACGCGTTTTTCTCGAAAACTCATTTTTCAAACTGGTACAGAGCTTTTCTCGAAATCTACCGAACCGATTTTGAAATCCCAAAAATTTTTCGATTCTTTATTTAAAAAACTGGTGCCTAAACCTCTAAAAACTCATATTTCTACCGCCTGTGTTTTCATATGGAGGTAAATTGACCCAAAAACACGGCGTTTTTGCGAGTTTTTGAGAAAAATGTACATATAAAATAAAAAAACCTTTAAAAAAAATCGTTTTTGAGGTTTAGGCACAAGAATAAATCCTTATGAAGAGATTCCCGTTTGGAACTTGAATTTATGTATTACAGGTTGCCCGGAATCTAACGTACCAAAAAAAGGTATCTTTTGGAAGACGCCACCTACAGCTATGAAATTGAACTAAATACACTCAAACATATTTTTTAAATTTTCTCTACGCAATGTGCTACAATGTACAAAAATAGTTTTTACAATTTCTTTAATACTGTTCTTACAATAAAAGTTTTAAAACCTTCCTTTTTTGTCAATTCTAAACCAGAAAGTCCCCTTAATAAAATAATTAGGATAATTAGTACAATGATTGGTCACCCTAAAATAAATATATATATATATATATATATATATATATATATATAATATACTTGACACGCAATTGAGCAGCGATTTTTATGATCAGAATTATGTTGTCTTTTATCATAATTTTAATTTTATTATTTATTTATACGTATTTTTTTAAATATATTTTGGAACGATGACATGTAATACGTGTCTTAAATAAATAATTAAATTAAAATTAATGATGAAAGGCAACATAATCTTAAGAATATAATGCGATTAGTTTCGAAAAAAAAATTTTTGTCTTATGCCCTTTTTTCATAAACGAGATCACATTTATTTATTTATTGCAATAAAGTTCAACAATAGTAATAAATTTTGATAGCTCATATAAACGAATGTCAAGTAGTAAAAACTAATTAAAATCACTGTAAGATAACAAACAAATTGTTTACTTAGCCATTAACTTGAATGGAATTCGATCATACTTGTTACTCCTAGGTTTTCGGAGTCTCTGAGTTTTAATTTAATGTCAGATTTCAAAAATTAAAAATGATGGATTAAAAAATTTTTAAATCTTTGAATTGTTTTAAAATTTGTTATTCGAAAGTTTTCAGAGTCGCTGATTTCGAATTTAATATCAATGCGCCATAAATATTACATCAGATATTTAGAATTATTGAAATTTGACACCAAAACATTAAATTTTTGATTTACTAATAAAAGAAAAAATGTTATACGAGATATGAGAGCAATGATATTAAAAATTAGACACTAAAGTTTTTTTAATAAAAAAGACAATTGCTGAATATGAAACTATAGAAACAACGGAGTCACCAATTCAAACAAGAAAGGTTTTTACGTCTTCATTCATGTAAAAATAACTAATTACTCTATACTGTAAAAATAGCAAATGCAGTTAAGAGTAAAAATTTTGGATTTACCAATGTACTGTATATAGTTAAATTCATATTTAGATAAATTGTTTTTTAGTTATATTTTTCTATTACCTAATAATAGTTATTTTTTACTATATGCTAAATTAGTTTTTTTTAACTATACTTAATTCTGATGTCGTTTATTATTATATAAATGAATACATAACTAATAATTTAGATTTAGAGTATATTCGCAGTATAGCGAAGTTTAATTATTTACACTAGCATGTTGATTGTTATTTTGATAAGTAAACATATTGGAAATTGGTAGACATTTTGAATTTTAAAAATGTTGATGTAGAGATTTATTCTAAGCAACTCTGATAATTCCGGAATAAGTATTTTATTTAATTATGCTTATTATGTTCTAGCGAAGTTGCATAAAAAATTCAGCCACAATAGTTTATAAATTTTTTTTTTTATTGAAGTAAAATAAATAAAAAGTCAAATTATTATAAAAAAGTGACAGACACTAGAAAAATAGCGCTAATGTCGAGGCTAATGTAATGTAAAAATTTTTACTATAGGGGGGAGAGGGTTTAAAATTGCTAAAAAATGTTTTATGTACACAGAAAAAACGATAATCTAGTTTTAAGAAGCTCCTACTATAGGAGCTGAGAATATTCCCCACTTAAATTAAATTAAGTTATAATAAAAATATCAATCTTATTGTAAGAATATTTCCCACCTAATTTAAGTGGGGCCGCTTAATTTAAGTAGGAAATATTCTTGGTTCCTATTTAAGTAGGCGCTTCTTAAAATTAGATTATCGTTTTTTCTGTGAAGTTTGTGAATGGACCCTAATTAAACTTAAGTATGTCAAATAATACTAAATTATCTTTCATTAATTAGATTTGTATAATTTTACTTATTTACTAAATAATCAACAGAAAATTGATTATGTATTAATTTAATTTATTAAATATTATGTTTTATGTAGCTTAAAAATATAATCAATGAAAAATTTGTTATTAACATAATTATTTCAATATTATTTAAACTGAATGCAATAGTATTTAATTTTCATGCAATTATCTCTAATCAATATTTAAAAAAAAATTTTTAATCCATTATCCATTGAATTAAAATTTAAAGAGAAAAATAAATATACGGTGAAGAACTTTTCTTAGCAGTAATTGATGGCTTATAGTATTTCATTACTTCTTATTGTTGAAAAATAATAGGTTTCAGTTACAATTAAAATGAAATTGAATAAGAAATTTTTTTTCACATCTTAATTGATCGGATTTGTTTCTTATGTTTTCTTCTTCTTTTTTAATCTTCAATGTTTTATTTACAGTATTTTTAATTTTTTTATTTTTAATTAGTTGTATTGTTACTAATGTACATACATATATTTGAAAATGGTATTTATAAAGTTAATTTCATTTTTCAATGTTTCTATTGTAGAATAAGGAGAAAGTCATCATGGAGAACCACAAAATTACAGCATTCTTGCAAAGAATTACGTATTTTTTCAAGACTTCCGTGAATACTTGATAGGAATCGTAGTCCAATGAAGTTGTCTGATGGTGAGTTTATTTTTGTATAAAATATATTTTTTTGTAGTTATTGATGAAATGAAATTTTTTATTTATTTTCATAATACAAATAACCACAGAATTAAAATAAGTATCAAATAATAATATTATTTCTTTTGGGTATTGTATTTTTTAAAGGACCAGGAGTGTAAAATTTATTTAAAGTCCTTAACGAAAATTTTAAATCTTTAATTCTTGTTAATTATTAAATAAATAAAATTGTTATTAAAGAGCATTGTTTGTGTTTATTGTTAAATAAAAGAAAATAAAAAATAACATAATATAAATAAAATGATAAGTAAAACAAAAATTAAAGTAAATAATAAAATGAAAAAAACTATACAAAAATAGAAATAAACATATAATAAAATAGCACAAAAATTTATAAATTAAGATAAACAAATGAATAAAATAAGAAAGAAATAAATGATTAAAAAAATCATAAAAAAATAAAATATTATAGGTAAAACGAATGTTAATAAATTGTAAAAATAATAACGTAAACTAAAACGATAAAATTCTAAACTTACACTCGTAGTAGAATAAATAAAAAATATTAATAAAAATAGTAAAATTTCAGTTGCTGAATAAATTTATTATATAGGTTACTATTATTAATTAGTTTAATTTTCGTTTTTCGACTCAATAAATTCTTAATAATAAATACCTCATGAATTTTTGGATTAACTTGGATTTTTTGCAAAGGTTCTTTTGAAAGAATGAATCTGACATTGCCTTGAGTAAGATGCAGTGGAATTGCTTGAAATTTTTCTTTACTTTTTTCAGTTATTATTGACTTTTTGTCCGCACACGTTGTAGGATTCGACACTGTCAAGGAAAGATTTTTTCCCATTCCCCTTTTTGAATATGAACTGTCTTAAAATTTTAAAACAAAATTTTAATTTGTTTATAATTAAATTACGTTCATTGGGTTAATTATTTAAATTTAAATTTGTTATAATTAAGTTAGATTAATTGAGTTAATAATTAAAATTAAACTTACAATTACTTATGGAGCAAAGTTCAGGCATTTTGTCATTCTCGGTGATTAAAATCCTCCCTTTCAAATCGCGTGTTTCTTCAGAGCTTTTTACTTCCATTTTTTATTACAAAAAAATAATAAATTTATTATTTATTAAAATAATAAAATAAAAAAATATAATAAAAATAAATAATATAATAAATTGTTTTTTAAGTAAAAACAACAAATTTTGATCCAAAAGATAATTTTTAAAAAATGGTGGAAAATTTTGATTCGAAAGTATTTTAATTATAGTTTTTGACAGTTACTTTTCTCTTGATAGTATTTTGTCTTTATTGATTTAAAGAGTTTACAGTGAGAAGACAAATGAAGATATGGAATATACATCCAGAAAATATATATATATATATATATATATATATATATATATATTTGATTCAGAGTCAACTAAATTTTTATTTGTTTTAAATAAATTTTATTTGGTTAAATAAAAGTTTTATTTATTTCGAATACAATTTTTATTTATAACAAATAAATAAACTAGTTGGCTCTGAGTCAAATCTACTTTTATTTAACTTAAATAAATTATATTTGGTTTAAACAAAATTTTCCCCTCAGTGTAGACTAAAAAAAATTATATTTAGATCAATTGATTCAATTTTATGAAAAATATTTACTTGGATCAAACATTTTTTATTTGGATTTAAATATATATATATATATATATATATATATATATGATTCAAATAATGTTGGAATATTGTATATTTGCCCCGAATATCTCGCTTGACTCTAACAGTAGTTGATTCTACGTCACTGCCGTGTGCGCACGCACTCCTTCTACTTCTCGATATCGCTTCGACCGTGAACGTCTCGATCGTCTACGAGCTTTCAATAAACGACCGATTTCATCTGTATTTGTGTATTACTATTGACTACATCCTGCTCTAAATAATCTGCATGCCAACAAATAACTTATTTATTTTTACTCTTAAATACCTCACAGGAAATTTGTGAGGTATTAAAAAGCGTTGCAGACTAAATTAACACCAAAAAAGATTAAAATAATCCATTTTAGTGTTATTTTTGACTATAAATAAAATTTTACTTAAAATCAAAAGCAATTCAATGATTTGTCAAAATTCACCGAATTAAGCTTTACCATAGGAACAATAAATCCTGATCTGAGTAAGTAAGTAAGCAGGGATCAAAAAGAAAATAAGCAAGTAAGAAAGTAAGCAAGGAAACACAAAAGAAATAAGTAGGTAAGAAAGAAGCAAAAAGGAAATAAAGTAAGCAAGGAAGCAGAAAGGAAATAAGAAAGTAAGCAAAAAGGAAATAAGCAAGTAAGCAACTAAAGAAATAAGCAAATAATCAAGTAAGCAAGGAAGCAAAAGGAAAAAAGAAAGTGAGCAAATATTCAAGTAAGCAAGTTGTAACGATAGCATTTAAAATCTAACGTGAGAAATTATATTTCGTACAGACAGTATATCTATATATACTACAGCACGTTCAGCCTGCTAGTCGCGAAGAGAGTAGCCACCGCGCACACACCGTGCGTCGCGGCAACGTCACGCTCCCCACCGCGAGACTTACCTGGATAGCGACCAGACCTCTATATACCTTGCTTGCAGTAACAATTTCCTCAGTTCGCCGTCGAACTGACTCGGGGCTTGCTCCGAGGTAGACCGACAGCAACTCACTCTTACACTCTCTCTTCCTTAACCCTTTTACCTTTTGCACAGGGAAGGTGAAATGTGGGGGCTACCGCTACCACTAGCTCTGTGTAAGAATTCCCAGAAGGAGATGTACCTTGCACGGGGGCAACCGTGACCAGGGTAACACCCTTTGCTCTCTTATTCACACACACACACACACACACACACACGTGGTTGTACTATCCTCGTCGAGTTGAGGGGCAACTCTCTCGACGAAGATGACGCACCGGGTGAATTCTCCACACCAAGGGGCCACTTGGTGGAGATGCAACCTAAACCATCTTAATACTCACACTAGTTTCGGGCAGGATAAGAATATCAAACGTAATTTGATATCTAGTTTCCAGTTTAAGATTTTAAACTGTCTCGCGTGCACAATCTCGGTTTTCGTCCCTAACGTTATCTAGGGGGTTAATTCTAGAAACCACCCCTCGTGAGTATAAGCGTCAGAACAATCATTATTTTATTAAATCTAGTAAAGCGTAACTCGTTAGTAAAAGTAAGTAAGTAAGTAGTAACGTAATGTAAAACTCGGTAAATATGTATTAAGTGAAACGTTCAAAAGTATAACGTAAACTAAGTAAATTCACTAGAGTTAAAAGATATTGAATTGTTTAAAATTATTACTCGTTAATCTCGAAGGTTTACTAGCGTACTATATTTTATTATTGTAAGTTCTACGATCTTTCTATCGTTCTAAATTTATACTATTTTGTTATTTTGTATTTTTATTATTTTATTTGTTACTAAAATATACTTTTTTACGAAGGTTTAATTAATGCCTTATTAATGACTGCACCTTATTCCAAATCATGGTATAAAACGGTCCTAAAGATAAATATTGTTTTGATAAATTGATAGAATTTAACTAAACTAAGAACCCGGACTCCATCCGGCGAGCAAATCCTTTTGGCAAATTTTAAGATCATTACAAAGTTACATCCTTCTTGCTTACTTACTTCTTAACTTATTTGCTTAATTACTTACTTACTTCATTATTCTCTTCTTGCTTATTTTCTTTCTTGATTACTTTATTACTTGCTTACTTTCCTACTTACTTACTCAAATCAGTAACTTTTGTCTCTTGTAAAGATGAATTCATTTACTTTTTAAAAATCTTTGACTTTGTTATGATTTGTAGTAAAATTTCATTCATAGTTAAAAATTAACATCAAAATGGATTTACCTCATGATTTACTGTGGCTATATTTGAGTTTTTGATAATATAAATAAAAATTATTAATTCTGAATAAATTTAAACAAAATATTAAAAAATTATTATGGATTAAAATAATCCTGTTTGGTGTAAATTTAACCTGTAACCCTTAATACCTCACGGTTTGCTGTGCTGACACAATTTAATTATTTTATAGATTCAAATAAACTAAATTATTTAAAACAAATAATGTAGGTATTATTTACTGCTAATTTATTATTTTATAAAAACAAATGACAAATATTTTGATCAAATAAAAAACTTACCGAAACGAAAATAAGAAATAATTTAAAACAATTAATTTTTTACTTTTTACAGAATTATTACAGAATTATTTGATTTTTTGATAGAATTAAAGTTTATTTGACGGAATAATATGATTGCAAAGCAATAAATAATTCAATTTTATTTGATTCTCTTTTTAAAAATATTTTTATTTTTAAATATTGTAGTGACTAAAATTTAATTCATTCTTTTTTAAAATTCGTATTTTCTATGATAAAATAGAATACTTATGTCAAGTAAATATTTATTTGATTCAAAACATAGATTACATGTTTAGAATAGAGAAGTAAATCATTTAACTCAATCAATTAAATTTTACTTGATCTAAATAAATTTTTTGTATGTTATACATATATTTATATACACACAACATGAGGAGTTTCGTCTCGTCGAGTACAATATGTAAAATATAGTGAATGTTGTAGACCTTATTGTTAAAATTCAGATAATATTTTTGTGGACTTCAGTCTATTAAATAAGAACGGTGTTTTTGTTCACAAAAGAATGTATGGGTAATGCTTCCTTTCAATGTAATTTTAAATTTTACAAACAAAAATTCGGGACCCCTATGGGCTCTCCATTGTCGTCAACTGTGTCTGAGATAGTTATGCAACATATCGAGGATAAAGTTTTGAGCAACACAGCACTTAATATAAAATTCTATTATAGATATGTGGATGACACTATTATATGTATACACAAAAGACAAACTAATAACTTATTAAACTCATTCAACCCCATTGGTGGCTCACTACAATTTACACTTCAACCATCAAATAATAACGAAATTAACTTCCTTGATTTAAAATTAATTTTTTCTTAAGGCTTTATCGAAACCGACTGGTACCAGAAACCTTATGCTTCTGGTCGCCTTTTAAATTTTTTATCTAACCATCATATAAACCATAAGAGAGGTATCATATTCTCTTTTGTCGATAGAGCCTTCACACTATCCGAGGAAAAATTTCTTAATAAAAATATAGACATTGTCTTTCGATTGTTACAAGAAAACAATTTTCCATATGATTTCATAAAAGATAACATCGAAAAAAGAATAACCTACTTGACAAATAAGAATAACAATGATATAATTACCCAAAATTTTGACTTATCACGAACCTTAGTCTTACCTTATGTAAATTATATTTCACAAGCAATAATTACATTATGTAAAAAATTAAAAATATCAATTATTTTTTCTATAACTAAAAAATTCCAAAATTCTCTTTTACCATCATCCAAGGACAGAATCCCTAAATTTGAAAGAACAAATATAGTATATAAGATCCCATGTGGAAATTGTGATAGTGTATACATTGGTCAAACTAGTAGACAATTAAAGAAGAGAATCTATGAATAACATAATTATTCTCAAAATAAAGACCACACAAAAACCGCATTATGCATACATGCACATAATTTTAAACATAGTTTTGATTTTAATTCTAATAATATTAAAATCTTAGACAGTGCTAATTATTTTAGAAACAGAAATATTCTTGAAATGTACCACATTGTAAAAAATGGAAATGCCATTAATTTTAGAACTGACACCGAAGGACTATCCATAATTTACCATGATGTTATAGATACCTTAAATTGTCTCAATTAGCACTCTATTATGTATATTATACCTATATTTTTAAAATGAATATTCGCGCTTATTGTAATCTTCGTATCTAGCGCATTATAAAAATGTTAAATCTCCGTATTTCGTAAACACTAAGCTTGTCTCACAGTGCATAGCCGCACTAAAAATTTGTTCTCACGCTCCTACCCCTATGGAGAATATTCTATGCCATAAGATGACAGCATGTTCACATTTTCTTACACCACACATTTTTATTTAATTGTATATTTTTCATATAATGTGTTGTTTGTGTTTATTATTTTTTAATG